AACTTTAGGTACATTGCCAAATGTGCTTTCCAGTATCTAATTCAAGGTTTCTGTGTTCCTATTATCTCTTCACTTGTTCCAAAACTATTCAGCAAAACCTTGAAATTTCCCATTTCCCTGGGCTTTCATAGTATCTATAGAACCACGGAATCACAGAATCATTAGGCTGGAAAAGACCACAAAGCTCATCGAGTCCAACCATTAACCCAGCACCACGGGCTCGCAACTAATCCACATCCCCAAGTACCATAATCTTTCTAACTTTTCTACGATTCACTCTGCAAAATCTTTTCTTTAAACCACTCATCTCAAACCTTAAGCCACTCAACTCATCTTAAACCGGGATCCCCCGGGCCGGTCGCTCACCCTCAGAGCCGCCTCTGGCCGCCGGGCCAGCAGCTGCACGCAGCCCATGTTGAAGCAGATCCGCGCCGGAGGGTCGGGGATGGCGCCGAAGCTCTCCAGGGCCGCGTCCCAGTGCCCGCGGTCTGCTGCCCGCACCCCCTCGTGCCAGCGCCGCACCAGCTCCCGGTACGCCATGGACGGGGATCCCGGGGCTCCCCCGAGCCCCGCTCACCTGAGCCCCGCTCACCTGAGCCCCGCCTGGGGCTCACCTGCCTCACCTGCCGGGCGGGGCGGGGATGGGCGGCCCCTCCGCCCGCTCCGCTCCTCCCCCGGGCGGTACAGCCCACCCGTACCCGGAGACACGGACAGGGAGGGGAGAAGGACACGGGGATGGGACACGGACCCCTTGAGGGGACACGGATCCCATGAGGGGACACGGATCCCATGGGGGGACATGAGTCCCCTGGGGCCCCATGAATCCCATGTGGGCACATGGACTCCGGGAGTGGTCACGGACCTCGGGAAGGGACACGGACTCAGAGATGAGACACGGACCCCTTGAGGGGAGACGGACCCCAGGAGGGGACACGACCCTCGTAAAGGAAAACGGTCCCTGGAATGGGTCATGGACTCCAGGAGGGGACGCAGAACTGGGGACACAGAAGGGAGAGTGGCCCTGGGAGGGGCACACGGGCCCTGGGAGGGGACACGGACCCAGGGATAGGACACG